CAGGTAGGTAGATAGATAGATAGATAGGTAATTAGATGAAAGAGATAGAGAGAGAGAGAGAGAGGCCAGTTGGGTAGATGAGATAGATAGCTAGATGGCTAGACAGATAGACAGACACACAGAAAGAAAGAAAGAAAGAAAGAAAGAAAGAAAGAAAGATAGATAGATAGATAGACAGATAGATAGATAGATAGATAGACAGAGAGAGAGATAGATAGATAGATAGATAGACAGGTAGGCAGATAGACACCACTACATTACACTACCTTCCTCTACACTTCACTACATTACACTACACTACACTCCACTACACTACAACTACAACTGCAACTACACAACTACACAACTACATTCCACTACACTACACTACACTGCATTTAATTACACTCAATTTCACTACGCTACATTACATTACACTACACTACACTCCACTACATTACACTAGACTACACTACTCCCACTACACTTCACTACATTACACTACACTACACTACACTCCACAACACTACAACTACACCTACACAACTACACCCCACTACACTCCACTACACACCACTACACTACATCCCACTACACTACACTACACTACAACTACCCAACTACATTCCACTACACTCCACTGCACTAAATTACACTACACTACAGTTCATGACACTACACTACACTCCACTACACTACATTACACTACACTACTGCACTACACTACCTTCCACTACACTTCACTACATTACACTACACTACACTCAACTACACTACAACTACAAATACAACTGAACTCCACTACACTCCACTACACTAATTTACACCACGCTAAATTACACTACACTACACTACATTACACTGCACTACACTGCATTCCACTACACTCCACTACACTACACTACAGTACACTACACTACATTAGACTGGATGACACTGCACCATAGATAGACAGGTAGACAGGTAGACAGACAAACAGATAGATAGATAGATAGGTAGGTAGATAGATAGATAGACAGGTAGACAGGTAGACAGCTAGACAGATAGACAGATGAAAGAGAGAGAGAGAGAGATAGATAGATAGATAGATAGGTCGATCGCTGGATAGATACATAGAAAATAGATAGGTAGGTAGGTAGATAGGCAGAGAAAGAGAGAGAGAAAGAGTGAGAGAGATCAAGCACCTTTCAATCCATCAGTGGCTTCGCTCTGCCATCCTTGATTCACAACAACCAACCTCTCCTATAGGTTTCCTATTTTTGAAACTTCCGCCACCGCCTTGTGCGGTACTACTGGTACTACCCAACTTGGAAGACTCATCAGCATTTGGACGCTTTCACTACTCGCTCTACTTCATCGTTGCCCATTGTCCCACATCCTGACACGTCGGACACGGGCTTAGTGGTTCGTATTCAAAGCATTCCACGGGGGCATCCATTCTTCTCACCTACTATGGTAACCATACCTTGAAATTCTGATATTGCGACTCCGACTCCGAGAGGAAAAAGGTGTCTTCTATGGACTCAATTTTGTACTTCGATTCTCCTCACCTAGTTTGGCATTATTCACCTTTTCATTTTGTGTAGTTTAGGCTCCAATAGGATCTCCCGACCCACGTTAGTATTCATCATCATGGCATCGCCTCCGTATTCAGACTCCGACATGCAGGGGACCCATCGAGAAATATTGCCCTCCGAGAACTACCAAGACTACTCTGCAACTGCCCTTCGTCGGTTTCTTACATTCCTCGGACCGCCCGAACTGTGCCTCAAGCTGTTACAGTTCACACTATATATGTGAAAAAGATCACCTACCGCATGACGTCGCGACAACCTGAACTTTGGGTACTCGAAAGGAACCAAGATGGACTTGAAACGTGGTGCCCCGTCGAGACATTCTTGGGCAATCTTCAACTTTCTCAGGATCCCACAGTCCTACGGGCAATTGCAAATCAATGGCGCGTTCACTACGATGTTCATCCAATCTCCTCATCATCCTCGACGGCTGTTCTTCATCCAGTACTTCCTCACCCTGAACATCCGAATGTGCTATTTGGACAACCAGTCTCCGTTATCCCTGACCACACCTACATCCTCCAATCATGCTGGGGACGTTCTGCACATCATCATTCTCAAGGTGCTCCTACATCGCTATACTGGCCCCCATGGCGTACGACACCTCCTTCATGACCATACAGGGTGCTGCTGAGACAGACTACTCCTACACCGGCTGCACCGACACCGGCGTCCTTTTCTGCTGAACCTCCGTGATCCGACCTGAACAACCCAGCTGATATGTCCGACTCGAGCGTTTAGCCAACTAACGGGACCGGATTGGGAAAACCAAGTTCTATCTTTCAGCGCCCTTTGATTGACCCATGCCTTGATTGTATTGGCCGGTATATGTCGCTTTTGTTCGATTGTCATTATTTTCCGCAGCCCAGCTGACTTAACCCGATTCGTATTTGACGCCATGGCTCCAAAAGACCTTCGGCATCACCCATACCGCGCTACCTCCAATGTCGAAACCCCGGTAGGCACCCAAACATGCTCTTGGTATGCTGGACCTGGTCAACTACCTGCTGGTAATGACCCACCTCCTGACAGACGGATTTTGATCATTGTGGACTATTCTCCTCTGCAATCGCTAGCTCACCCTAGCGAATTGGATCATGCTTCGTTTGCGGCCTTGAGGGGCCACAATTTCCGCTGCGCATCCGCTGGAGAACTTGAAGCTCTTTTCACCTGGGCCCTATTGTGCCCTCCAGACGAAGCCACTGCAATCCAGTTCAATCACCTACGGCCCCAACTTACTACTCGACTTCGGGCCCAATGGGATATTCGGATGATCCCTTCGGATTTGGAGTTCCGCTACGCCGACCTCGCCGGGGATGTCTTCCAAGTCCGCAACGACTTGACGGTCATGCAGCTGTTGGACGAGTACCGACCTGATTGGTGAATTCGACAATGTAGCTGTAGACACTCTACGCCACTTATTCCGGGTACTCAACAACCTTGAATTTTATTTCATGGGATTTCGAGATTGACTTGTCACAAAGTTCGACAAGGTGTCATTCTCCCCTAGGCCGATTCACTACTTCTCTTCCGCGGATGTGCTGATCACAAAACGATCCTTTTGAATCTTTTCGCCGTATTCTCCAAACTTTCAAGTTCAAGGAGCAGTTTCGATTCACTTATCGCTACGTATTTGTGGTTGGCCAAAGCACGATGAATGCCCGAAAGTGACCTTCTTGTATTATTGATATGCATGACGCATGTCCCCCTCACATCAGTTTTGTCTCATCATTTGGTATCTCCACTTTACCTTCCCTTGTGGCTCAATTTATTATTTTCTCGCAAGCCTTTTCACGGTGACGTGCCCTTCCTGGACCTTCACTCCCTTCGCAAATGGAGCACAAGCGCGACGCTGATGCAGCTGGCTTGACCTGGCTTCTGACGCATCTTCATCGGCGGTACCTTTGAACCCACCGCCACAAGGGAATCCTATGGCTCCTACCACTTTGGGATCTTCTTCGACCGGGGACAATTCATTGACGAATTCCGGAATGTATTCAACAGGAACTCACCCTCCGACTCCGTTCCCAACATCCGAAAATCGTCATCCTCCTCCTCCTCACCAAGGTCGATTTAGCGAGCGATTGGTCCACCAGATTCATTTCAAGATCTTTACCCACTCCAACAACACGTAAGAACTGTTCGTCATGGAGATACCGACAACAGGAATTTCAAGGACCAGAGATCCCGAACATTTTTTCTATGCCATGTCTGGACAATGGGAGTGGCCCCAACATACTGCCGACTACTGGCGCCACTACTTTGGCGTGCCTATGCGACATGGAACCAACCCATTTGAGGATTACTTCCCACCGGACATGGAACCTGCCATCACCCAGACACCGCGGCCGACCATTGCTGTCCTTGCCACAGAGTTGCAGAAGCTTTTGTCAGCACCTTCGATATCTGGGGAACTTTCGGACCAACTGAGCATGGTGCAGCGAATGACCTTTTCTGCGGCTCTCCAAATCCTCGCGACGTCACAGAGCGCGTCCCTCGAGGATATCGATTGATGGTCAACAGCACTTTCTTCTCAGTTGCCCGCTCCGCTTTTTGTACTATAGATCTGCAATTGCCGCCTCTTCCGATAGAAGAAACCCTGCCTCGGCAGGGTGTGTGTGTGTGACACATCTGTACACATGTAAAACTTCGGTTTCTTGTCACTATATTTATATGCAGGGGGCATGGCCGCTGTTTCCCTAGCCATGCCAACGAAGCTATGGGATCCAGCCGGAAGGGCATTCCTGTACCTGCATTTCTGTTCGTATGGCAAGCGGCCAAGCCTAGAACCGCAAAGCTGAATCTTTACTTCACGGTTGTCGCAATCTGGTTTTTATTTTCTGTTATCAACATGGCGATCCTATTCATTTTTTGGAGTCTGGTTTCGACTACGTTTGACATTATCGGAAGACTTACATCGTTTTCGAGAAGTACTACCAGAGGATCTACTTTAGGTCTAATTGTCTAGGCTGGTTTGCATGTTACAGGACTCAGTTCCTGATGGATCTATTCAAAGATTCAATCTTGTCTAGTGTGTGTGTGTGTGACATCTGTAAAGATTCAGATGTAAAACTTCTGAATCGGTTTCCATGATTTCTACTGTTGCAGGGGGCAGTAGCACCATTGCAAGTCTACTGCCAACGAAGACACTTGCAATTGGTGGTGATACAAGACCTGATCAGTCTGGCGTACCTGCAATTTTCCACTGCGATGGCAAGGGGCTAAGCCAAGAACCCCAACAGCAACAATTTCATATTTACACGGTCGCCGCAATCTGAGTTTTTCGACATTATTTCATGCACGGTCCACGTGGTATTTTTTGAGATGGCAGAGGGCTAAGCCGAGAACCCTGACATGACGATTCTTTGACGTTTTGGATTCTGGTTTTATCTACGTTCGATATTTTCGGAAGACCTTCATTGTATTCGCCAAGTACAACCAAGAGATCTACTTTAGGTCGATTTTTCTTGTCTTGTTGCATATGAAAAGGACTGAGTTCCTGATGGATCTCTTAAAAGATCCAATTTTTGTCGAGAGCGAGAGAGAGAGTGTGTGTGTGTGTTTGTGTGTGCGTGCGTCAGCCGAACACCACATCACCCGATCCTGTAATTTCTCTGGATCGATCGGCTTGAAGGTGGAGAAGTCCATGGGCGTGAGGATTTGCTGGGCAAAGCAGAATTTGTTGCACAGTATACACTGCACAGTGCATCAAAGCAAGAGAAACAAGCTGGCCTGCATCATCCGCGGGTCTGGAAAGTCACCCAACGGAATGCCCTTCTGCACGGAAATCTGCAGCCGGCATTTGTCTTGCCAACATGTTGGAAAGCCAATTTGTTGCACTATGAGCCTCTTGGTAAATGCTCTGCAGATCTTGTATCATTCGTTCTTGCTCTTTGGCATGCCCAAAGAATGTTGGCATCCTTTTGTAGAAAAAATCCTTGGCAGGTCGCGAAAGGTTGCCGTGCAACTATCTGCCAATGGTTAAGAGCTGGACCAACAGGTAGGCGTGAACTTTGGCCAAACGCGCACGCTTGATCAAATCCTGAGTTCCGAGATGAGACCAAAACACGGAAGGCACAGAAGGTGAGCATTGAAGCCACAACTTCCGCAACTTGACCTATGCCCAATCAGACAAATGATTCTCAATATGTCTTAATATTTTGCATTGATTCTTATTCCCGAATACGTAGCAAGGGTTTCCGTTTCTCTCTGGGGGTCTGGGGGTTGAGGGTGTGTTCGCTCGACGTAGCGCAACCGTTCGCAACCGTCCGCAACCGTTCACAACCGTTCGCGCGAGGTCGCTATGGCCGTGCCTCTGCAAAAGGGGCCACTTTTGGAGGTTTCCAGCATCGCGTAGCTTCGTTTCGCGTGGCGGGCGTGGCACTTCGTCAGATTCGGACGTGTTTCGTCGCGTGTCAGAAATCGTTTTTGTGTGGCAGGCGCAATACTTTTGCGTCGTTTTCAGAAGATGCGTTGCAGTTTTCGTGGCAGGCGCAGCACTTTGGAGACCTCCGTTGTCATTTCACGTGGCAGGCGCAGCACTTCAGACGTGTCGTGTTGTGGGTTTTTGCGAGTCGCATTGTCAGGGCCGCGCGAAGTGGTGACAAGGTGCAAATTCTGTGGCAGGCGTGGCATTTTGTGGCATGTGCTGAAAATTGACGGAAGCCTCGCATGAAACATCGATTTTGAGGTAGCAAATTTCAAGTCCATGAGAAAACCCAGAGGAAAACGTTAATTTCGTAGCTGCAAAGTGTGAAAAGTTGCGGACGTCTCGCACAAAATGCTTGTTTTGAGGCTCCAACGTGTCTCGTCTCGAGTCTCTGGTTTTCCTGCGGCCTCGCCGTGTCTATAGGGGAAGCTGCAAAACCTTTCCCTTTCGAAGGTTTCCAAGAAGGTTGTAATGTGGTTTTGCGTGGTAGGCGTGGTACTTCCTGACATTTCTCACGTGTTTGCAAACGCGTCGGCAGTCGTTTTGTATGGCAAGCGCAATGCTTTTGCGTCGCTTTCAAACAATCAGTTGCATTTCTCGTAGCAGGGGCAGTGCTTCAGAGACCTCCATCGTCATTTTGCGGTCGCAGGCGCAGCGCTTTAGACGTGTCGTGTTACGTGTTTTTGCGAATCGCAATGTCAAGGCTGCGTCAAGTGGTGACACTCCAGACTTTCCCCTTTACACTCAGCACTCTACACTCCGCACTTTGCATCCACACTCCACACTTTACACTTTACACTCCACACTACACAATTTACACTCCACACTCCACACCCTACACTTTGCACTCCACACTTTACACTTCACGGTTCACACTTTACACTCCACACTCTACACTTTACACCCCACACTTTCCTCTCCACACTCCACACTTTACACTTCACGTGTCACACTTGACACTTCACACTTCACACTCCACATTCTACACTCCACACTCACAACTCCACACTTTAAGATCCAAACTTTACACTTGACACTCCACACTCCACACTTTACACTCCACACTTTTCTCTTTACACTCCACACTTTACACTCCACACTTTACGCTCCACACTTTAGACTCTGCACTCTACACTCCACACTCCACACTTGACACTCCGCACTCCACACCCTACACTTTGCACTTTACACTCCACACTTTACACTTCACATTTCACACTTTACACTCGACACTTTACACTCCACACTCTACTCTCCACACTCCACACTCCACACTTTACACTTTACACTTTGCACTCCACACCCCACACTTCACACTCCACATTTTACACTGTGCACTTCACAGTTTCCACTCCACACTTCACATTTCACACTTTACACTTTACACTTTACACTCCGCACTCTACACTCCACACTCCACACTCTACACTCCACACTTTACACTTTTCACTTTACTTCCTGCACTCCGCACTCTACACTTCACACTTTCCACCCCACACCTTACACTTTATACTCCCTCGTCACACTCTACACACTGCATTCCCCACTCAACACTCCACTTTCTTCACACCCCACACTTTTCACTCCACCCTCTGCATTCCACAGTCTACAGCGCACTCGTACGGTAACAGGGGAAAAATGTACAAGCCTGTTCAAACAACTTGTTTTACAAAAGTGTTCTACGTGACTGCATTCGGGTTCGTGGGCTGCATCTTGGTTTTTTCCATAGGGCTAAGATTCTGAGCTGACGGGACGGTCAGTAAGAAATCTTCCCGTCCCTGTCAAACCATGGAGATCTGCTTGGGCTGGCACATACATATTCCATATTCCACAACGCAAGACAACATGTCAAAATCTCTGACAATATCAAAAAAATAAAAGCATGCAGTGAATGACGGTAAAAAAAAAGGGACCGCGCAAGGCGGTGGCGAAAGCTTCAAAGATAGCAGCACTATAGGAAATATTGAGTTGTTGGAGTGTCGATGACGGAGTGATAGGTGGTTGGAGTGTCGATATTTGACTCCCACGTTCTGTTGATCTTCTTGATGAATTCACGTATTCATCCATCTTTCTTTTTGTCTATCTATTCCTGCTTATCTGCCTGTCCGGCCATGTTGTCTTTCCATCTTTCTTTCTGTATACCTTACTGTCTAGCTATCTAACTGTCAATCCATCTATCTATCCTCTCTTTCTATCTATCTATCTGTCTGTCTATCTGTCTATCCATCTGTCTGTCTGTCTATCCACCTGCTTATCTATCTGTCTACCCATCTGTCTATCTGTCTATCGATCTTTCTGTCTATCTTTCTGTCTATCTATCTTATCTTATCTTATCTTATCTTATCTATCTAATCTAGCTTAGTCTAGTCTAGCCTAATCTAATCTATCTGTCTGTCTGTCTGTCTATCTATCTCTCCATCTATCAATCTATCTATCTATCTAACTAACTAACTAACTAACCAGCTAACTAACTAACTAACTTACTTACTTACTAACTTACTTACTAACTAACTTACTAACTAACTAACTAACTAACTAACCTATCTATCTATCTATCTATCTACCTATCTTTCTTTCTTACTATCTGTCTACCTGTCTATCTGTCTACTTGTCTATCTGTCTATCTGTCTGTCTATCTGTCATCTGTCCACCTGTCAATCTGTCTATCAATCTATCTGTCTATCTCTCTATCTTTCTTTCTTGCTTTCTGTCTACCTATCTGTCTATCCGTCTATCCATCTTTCTGCGCTATCTATCTATCTATCTATCTAACTATCTATGTATCTATCCATCCATCCATCTATCTATCTATCTTTTTATTTAGCTGTCTCTCTATCTATTTGTCTGTCTGTCAATCTGTCAATCTGTCCATCTATCTATCTATCTACCTACCTACCTACCTAATCTACCTACCTACCTACCTACCTATCTATCTATCTATCTATCTAGCTAGTACAAAGCACCACATGTTCGCGCCACTTTTGGAGGTCAAGATGTCGTTACGCGTGGCACGCGCAAGGGACTGTGCACCTTCTCAAAAGTGAGCAAAACATGAGGGTTTTGTCGTATTTCCAGAAACAATGGCAGGCGTGGGGCATTTGAAGAGGATCTGCAAAGATGCATTTTCCGTGGCAGGCGCAGTACAAGAGACATGTTCATCAGATCTGTTAGGAGGTACGGGCGCTGATTTCCTGAGAGGGGCTGCATTTTGGAGCATCAGATCTTCAGGTTTGCTGAGATGATTTTGCGTGACAGGTGCAGCACTTCGTATGACCTGGCATCACTTTTTCGTGGCAGGCGCAGTCGTTTGGACAGGTGGACTGGAAAAATTGCAAAACGCATCGGTACAAAAATTGAGGGCGTCTCGCAGAATTGCTTCGTTTTTGACGTTGTCAACTTCAAACATTGAGGAAGTCTCGCAGAATTGCTACGTTTTTGATGTTGTCAAGTTCAAAACCTGAGGACGTCTCGCAGAATAGCTTCGTTTTCAAGGTTGCAGCTTGACAGGTAGACAGACAGACAGACAGACAGACAGACAGACAGAAAGAGAGAGATAGATAGATAGATAGATAGGTAGATAGATAGGTAGATAGGTAGATAGATAGACAGATAGATAGATAGACAGACAGATAGATAGACAGACAGACAGATAGATAGAAAGATAGATAGATAGATAGATACATAGATGGACAGATAGACAGACAGACGAATAGATGGAGAACCAGCTAAATAAAAAGATAGATAGATAGATAGATAGACAGACAGACAGATAGATAGAAAGATAGATAGATAGATAGATGAACAGATAGACAGACAGACGAATAGATAGAGAAACAGCTAAATAAAAAGATAGATAGATAGATAGATAGATAGGTCGGTCGGTCGGTAGGTAGGTAGGTAGATAATGAGAGAAAGAGAGAAAGAGAGAAAAAGAGAGAGAAAGAGAGGAGACATCAATCACCTTTCGATCCATCAGTGGCTTCGCTCTGCCATCCGTGATTCACAACAACCAGCCTCTCCTATAGGTTTCCTATTTTTGAAGCTTCCGCCACCACCTTGTGCGGTACTACTGGTACTCAAGAAGCAGAGGTTCTAAGTGTTAGGTTCCACAAGGAATACAACCACGTAAATCTTGCAGCGAAGCATCCCAAGTTGTGTACATATTTCATTCAATACTCTGTTTATTTGTGATTTTTCCATACATACATACATACATGCATCCAGGCATGCATGCACACATGCACAGTAATTGATAGTTTAGACTAGGCTTTTCCAAAGATATGTAAATATACAAGATATATAAATATATATATGCACACATATACCTCTGTGTGTGTGTGACATCTGAACAGATGTAAAACTTCATTTTGTAGGATCATACGTTTGCAGGGGGACACAGCATTTCACTGGGACTGTGTCCAACGATGCTACCAGTGAAATGGGATATCCAGCTTGGCCAGCTGGACGTACCTGCAATTTTTCGTTGCAATTTTGACTGACATGGCACGCGGCCAAGCCTAGAACCGCCCAGCTGTAATTTCACTTCACGGTTGTTGCAATCTGGAATCAAATTTGGTCATTTTCGATTAGTTCAGCTGCATCAGAACCTTCCT